GTGTAAATGATGTGGATTAGTATCTTCCTTATACTTTGCTAAAATAATATTGTATTCATTTTCCTCCTAACCTTGTGCATTATCAGCAACGGAATTGTTACTACTGTTGTTATTACTGGAGCTTGAGACAGACAATGGAGAATTCTCAAAGTATTCTTTTGTTGTGGGATGGTTTTCAACCAGTTTTTGAATATTTTCATCGTCAACATCAAGAAGATGTCCACGAAAAAATGGATGAAGGTAATGTCCTAGTGTAAATGCGGTTAAACTTACGGCCTTTGTCTGGGAATCTCTTATTTAGTTCTGATAATAAGTCCTCCAAGAATTTTTTTTTTATTTTGTTGTTTCCGTGAGTAACATAACTATTTCTTTCTTTCTCGATGAAGTTGATAAGTGCTGTTACTTTCCACAGTGACATGTCAATTCGGATCTCTGTGTCAGAAGATAAAAAAACTGATAACTCTTTAACTGATTTAAGCATTGGAATAATATTTTCAATGAGTAGGAACAGTTCATCTGTAGGTACGGTTTTCTTCCAATCATCGCCCTCTGTAACGCGTAAGTATATGAGTGGAACCTTCAGCCGAAGCATACCGTGCAGCATATCGTATTGGCTCTTCCATCTCGTGTTTACTGTGGAGGGTATTTTGGGGTAACTCACATCTAACCTGGAACAAGCATCTTTCAACGAAGCACTGAAAACTGTCGATTTATAAAGCCTGGTAGTAAGTAAGCTGGCTTTAAGAAAACCATCTTTCAGTTCCAGGCACCCTCAACTGTTCTTTGTAGTGCAGTGTTGAGTTTGTGATCACTGCATGTAACAGAGCCTTCTTCTTTAGTCATAAAAGATACACTGTTGTTAGAGCACATGCCATATTTGATGCCTGATTAATAACACACAGCTTATTGGGTATGTTTTTTAATGACTCAGGGTATGAGAGTGTGTTATCAAGTGCTTTTGCAATGTTGATACCAGTGTGTCGCTCTTTGAATAGGCACACTTCTAATCTAAATTTCTTTAGGGCAAAGTCTGGCGAGATATAATGTAATGTCACGGAAATGTATGAATCATTTGCCCTTGATGTCCAGTGGTTGGTGGGTATGGCAACCTGATTAAGATCTATGAGCTCCTTTTCCATAACTTCATGGAATTTTACCATACGCTAAAAGGAGTAATCCTTTTAGCGTATGGTAAAGCCGAGAGAGTTTATTTTTTGCGAAAGTTGTTAACTGTTTTATTGTGGCATTAAGTAATATTTTGTTCATAAACCTCTTAAAATTTTCAGGCTCAGCAAAACTGAATGGCAAGCACTCAGTAGCAATCAAAGTAATGATGTCATGATCAACTACTAATTGACGCCGATCTTGAAGTGGCCACTTTTTTGTAACCGCCTTCTTCGGGAGAGTGAGAGTTTTAAAGGCTACATATTTTGCGGATCCAGAAGCACCTGCCTCGATTACGTTTAGTTCTTCATCTTCTTGTGATTTCCGCTAATCTTCTTTTTTTGAAGTTTGATGAATAAATTCCTATGTTGTGTTTGAATTTGCTTTTGCAAGCCAGTAGTATTTGCTTGCTTTGTTGCAAGCTTATTTCCACAAGTTTTACACAGAGCAGATTCTTCTGAAAATGTAAAATACAGTTTAATAACAAATAAAATGGTTTTATTTTTTTATTTTAATTTAATTTTTATTAAAAACAACAGAGCCGGGACGCACGAACTCACTTGGGGTCTGAGGCCTGAGGCAAAATTAAGTTTTAGGGGCATTTACTGTAAACGTCTAAAGGAGTTAAATAATTTCAGAAGTATTATTACCAAAAAAAATTACCCTTTGATAGACGTGAATTTAATTTTTTTTACATTTAGTTAGTAGGTATCTTTATTTGAAACAAAAAAAATTCAGAGTGGGCCGACATACAACCTAGCAATCAATTTAGCACACTGTGCTTTGCGATTTATGAATTATTGCTCCACCAATTAAATTAATTATTTTTAAATCCTAATAGTTATTAAACAATAATAGTTGTAACATAAAAGCGTAGAAAAAAAAACTGCGTTTAAAAAAAAACTTTAGTTAAAAAAAAATTAAAAAAAGTTAAATTCCCATGAAAGACTTGAACCTAGAACTCCGTGCTTATATGCCAAAACTTTATCCGCTCGGCCACGCAAACTCACGCGTAGAAAGATAAGTTATTATATGTAATAATAATTCTGCTAATAAATAATTTTAGAATTTATTTCCTGACATTGCCGGCAAATACCTTTTGAGATAAAGTATAAAAAATACTTAGTAAGTAGTGCTTACCTATATTTTTCTTGAAATTAATCACAGATTAAAGATAAAAGGCTTAACGAGTTAAAGTTAAAAGCATAAATGTTAAATGTTAAAGGCATAACGAGTAAAGATGAGTTGTTTTTAATAACTAAAGTATACTTATGTTTAATTGTTTAAAATTAAAGTTTAGTTATTGAATGTTGAACACAGAACAAAGACAAGGCGA